ATATTTTCATTTATACACGTTTCATTAAATAATATAGACAAGTGTTGTCTATTTATTTTATGTAAAATTTTTTCGTATCTTCTGATAAGTTTGATATCATTATCATTAAACGAAGAAAGAAATTCACAATATTTATCCATTATTTTTAATATAATCTAAGCTTTCGGCTTACTTAAGCCATTATCAAAGATATAAATCACAAACATATTAAACAATATACGGACACGACAGTGATGATAGTCTGTCATTGTTTACATAGTGGATCACTAAGCAACGATAAACACGCGCATTCCTAGGTACTTATAGGCTTCATCTTATTCCAGTTCCCTAACCGTTGTGACAAAATCAAAATCTATTGAGTGTGTTTCTGTAATTCTTCCTTCCTTGAATGTTACTTTTGCACATTTATATAATCCGACATACATACCTATATCGTCACTGAAACATTTTACAATATTGAGGAGGCCCTTCAACTCATTGACGTCTTTAGAAAAGAGTTTGAGATCATCCATGTAGAGTAGTTAATTGAAAAGTTTCTTGTTTATTTTGTAACCATAACTGTTTTTTTTTTTTAGTTCAAGCGTAATGGGGATTAAGGACAAACAAAACAGAAAGGGTGAAAGGGAGTCTCCTTGAAAGATTCCGCGTCGGATATTCAGACGGTTGGAGATAGCAGTGCCTCTGGTGTGATTTTGGTATAGTGTGGTGTTCTACATTCCCATGATGTGCTTAAGAAAATTTACCACCACAAGGAAGACTATATATTTCCAGCGTGAAGACTAGGAAGACTATATATTTGACAGCGTGCTTACACAAGAGTGTGGCACGCTGTCAAAGGCTTTACGGTAATCAATCCACGCTACGCATACATTTCTATATCGTCTCCTGCAATTTTCCAGGATCATTTTGTTTATTAGTAGTTGATTTTTGCAACCATATGAACCCCTCCTGCTTCCCTTCTGTTCAAGTGGAAGAATGTCGTTTGCCTCGAAAAAAGATTAAGTACGGTTCGTCAAGATAGATGTGATCAATTTATAGTGATTTTCCAAGCGTAGCTTAAATGTGGCACAAGGCCGAAAGTAGGGGGTACCCAGTGAGGATGGAACTCACTACTGAATCGTAATTGTTCTAGCGAGACAAGCTTGTCAGCCATTACACCACCTCGAGCTGCCCAATGTGATCAATTTATACGCGATGGAGAGACATGTTATTGGCCTATAATGTTTCACTCGTTTTGGGCATGAGAGATCTAATATCTTCAGTGATTCATTCCGGTGTTTCGTTGTGATTATTTACAGGCATTGATAGAGTTTTTGCAAGGGTTTTATGGATTGATGAGAGATGATAGAGACGTGTGGATTGTAAAGTCCCATAAAGGTCCTACCTCTGTAATCAGGTCCAGGTGATGTTTATACCAGTTTCTTGCAGGTTCCTTGCCGTAAATGTTGCATATTTTCCAATGCTGATATTGGCCCACACTATCATACCGAGCTTTATATTCAGTAGATGCTAAGACCGTGAAACCTGACAAAAGATGATCAGTTCTTTATTATTATTATTGCTATTATTATTATTATTATTATTATTATTGTTGTTGTTGTTGACGTCTGGGGGATTAGCTCTGATTGATTGTGTGTCTTTTAAAGTCCCATAAAATTGTTACACGTCCTATCTCTGTAATAAGGTCTGGATAATGTTCATACCAGTTTCTTGCAGTTTCCTTACCGTAAAAGTTGCATATATTCCAATGCAGATATTGGCCCACTCTATCATGCCGAGTTTTATATTTAGTGGATGCTAACACCGTACAAATTGATGCAAGATGATCAGTTATTTATTATTATTATTATTATTATTATTATTATTATTTTCTTTGATTTCTGGCGTTTACACATTTCTTTCCGGGTCCCGCCCAGGGACCTAAGGTTAGAAATGGCGTCATGACACTTTCCACTGACAAAAAAAGAAAAGAAAAAAAAAAGAATTAAATTACATAGATAAAGCCCTTCGTAAGGTGTGGGCTGTACTTGTCAAAACAATTTTTTGTATCTCCTTGAGGCATAGACTTCCAGGAATCCCTTCAATTAGTCTACTGCAATCTTTTCCAACCAGTCTATTATTATTATTATTATTATTATTATTATTATTATTATTATTATTATTCGCCTATTAATTCCAATAATAACTTTCCTGGAATACTGCTGCCATATATAGTCTGGTGCTTCCGCTGTTCATCTCGAGGTCCTCGACAAAATCCATAGACGGATATGCAATGTGGTAGGTCCTGATCTGGCATCCCGTCTGCACTTGTTATCTTACAGAAGTGCCGCGGCTTCCCTCTTGTCTTTTCTACAAGCACTTTCATGGCAACTGCTCCGACGAGCTACTTTCGCTGGTTCCCAAACTGCATGGATTTAAACGTGCTACTAGTTTGATATCTCGATTCAAAAGCTTCGACGCGGCCTTGTGTATGATGAATTATTTTTTAATGTATAACCACTTTCTCAAAGACGAAACGTTTCTAGCCATTCTCAACTCGATCGCTACATTCATGGCAAATATTTTGGCGAGCTAATTCCATCTGTTCCACCAGCTCATACCTTTACAACAAAAACTCGCTGTATCACGCAAACAAGCGCGGCGGACCGAATCATCCACATTTCCTTCATATTCCATTGGTAAGAAATAATTTCCATTCGCACTGCTTCTTCTCGAGAACCGGTACTTTGTGGAACAGACTATCGAGAGGAGGCTTCCTCAATTGCTACAATCTTAACCTCATTTGTAACCCTCTATCTTCAGTGTCTCTTAAGCCTTGTACTGAGTCAGCAACTGAAAAAAAAATCTGGTTATTTAAACAGGAGATTACGTAACAGCAAGTCTCTTCAATAAACCAGCACCCTCCTCAGTATTCTAGCTGTTTTCAGTAATGTTATCTTCTGGATGGTTCTTCTTCTAACGTTTAGTTCCCCCATCCTTCTATGCCCATTGGAATTTTTCTTAAGACTCCTATAACATGTTCCTCAATTTCTTCGTCTCCTTAGCAAATTTGAGATATATTTAATATTAGCTAGCAGCAGAAGTAATATTTTAATTTTTTGTTGATTGATTGATTGATTTCTCCAGCTTATCAACCATTTGCTGATTATTAAAAATCAGAAAATATTTTTAGATTGCAGTGATACAAATCTTACTAATTAACTCATAGCTGGGGGAGAAGTGGTGAATTCATAGCTTTACCAAGGGTATTTGCGTGTAAGTGAACGGGAATTAAAACTTGGCTCAGGTTTTGTTTGGTTTGGTTTTTTTACGGCATATCAACCACAATGTGTTATTTAAGGCCGACAATTTTTATTGCTGGTAATATTTTTTTCCTTCAAAAATGCATAGCTGGTAAATATATTTTTTTCAAAACTTTATTTCTGGTAATAATTTTTTATAAAGTATTTCTGATATTAAACCTATTTTTACACTTTCATAATATTTTGACCTCAGTTTGGGGGTTAATTATTTGCCCATAGTTTGGACCCTAACAGGTACTACCACCCCGGGTTAGGGTAGACCTGGGAACACCAGCAATTAAGAGGTGGTTCCACACTTCTCAAAACCCCCTTGCTGTTTATCGTCATACCCAGGACGCAGATGTAGCTTATTGTAATACCCAGGACGGGAACTCGGCTCTCCGACAAACAATTCCGAGCCATTTACTCATTACACCACCTGCACATCCAAGCTATCAGCATCTAGGTACTGACCAGGCATGATGTCGCTTAACTTTGGTGTTCCTACGTGAACCGTTGTTTCAACGTAAGCCTATTTTAAATTTTACACTTTTTACTTGCATTTTTAATACTCTCCCTCCCCGTCTTCTTCCGTAATTATCATAATTAGATCTGTCATTGTTATTGCTAGATTATAATTTTTTTTTATATACCAACTCATTCTTGATAGCTGCTGAGTATTATTAATAATTGTTTTTGTTCTTTCTCCTCCCCTGCCGCCGACATTTATCCTTTTGATATTATACGTGTTTTCCTATCATTTTGTTTTTGTTTTCTTTCTATTTCCTCCTCCTTCCTACCATCATCAAGCCTCTTTTTTTTTTCTTTTTTTTTTTTCTCCAGTATATCTGCCATAGAAAAACGCCTTGGGCGGTGGCCTTTGGTACTGTGTTCGATGTGTTGTGAGATTCTCACGATGCCGTCTCTTCACCCTGTGTTCCTCCTTTGCTTTAATTATGATTGACAAACTGCTTAAGGCCTACTTTGTGCCGGGTGCCTCTTGTTCTCCCGCCCTCATTTCTCTGCCGGGACGTATCAGGGACAAACAAGGTGGTATCCGCAGAGAGATAAGACGGAAAGACGAAAACAGGGAGAGGATGAGCAGAATGAGGAAACAGTAAAGTTAGAATCTGGGAGGCAAAAAATTAAAAAAACAAAAAACAAAAAAACGGACGGAAGAAAGAGATACAAAAAGAAACTAACAGAAAAAAGAAAGAAAGAAAGAAAAAGAAAGAAAGAAAGAAAGAAAGAAAGAAGAGGAAAACGTACAGAAGGAAAAACATTAAAAAAAGAAAAGAACAAATGAAAGAAAGAAGAAATTAGGAAAATGCAAAAAGAAAGAAAATAAAACAAATGACAAATTGAAGGTCAAAAAGAAGTAAAGAAAGAAGGAAAATTTAAAGAGAAACCCGGACGGACGGACGAAAGAAAGAAAGAAAGAAAGAAAGAAAGAAAGAAAGAAAAGAAAGAGTAAAACACACAGAAAGAAAAAATTAAATAAGAACAATGAAAGAAAGAAGAAATTAGGGAAATATAAAAAGGAAGAAAATAAAAAAATGACAAATTGAATGTAAAAAAGAAGTAAAGAAAGTAAGAAAATTTGAAGGAAAACCCGGATGAAAGAAAGAAAGAAAGAAAGAAAGAAAGAAAGAAAGAAAGAAAGAGGAAACCTGGAAGAAGTAGGCGACAAATTAAAAAAGAAATGAAGGAATGAATAAATTAAGAAAAGGCAAAAGAAAGAAAATAAAAAGAAAGGAAAAAGCGAAGGTAAAAAGGAAAATTTGAAAGAATGAAGGAGAAAATAAATTTAAAGAAAGAAAGAAAGAAAGAAATCGCACAGAAGGAAGAAAAAATGAAATAAGGAGAGAACAACTTAAAGAAAAAATAAATTAAGAAAACATAAAAGGAAAGAAAATAAAATGAAAGGAGAAAAGGAAGATAAAACCAGATCTTATGAAGGAAGGAAAATTGAAAAGGGAAAGTCTGAAGGAATGAAGAAACAAATAAATAGAAAGAAAGAAATAGGAAACTACACAGAATGATGGAAAAAAATTTCAAATAGAAAGAAGAAATGAAAGAAAGAAGAAATTAGGAAAAGGTAAAAGGAAAGAAAAATCAAAGAAAGGCACAAGAGAAGAAAAAAGTTTTTTAAAAAAATGAAAATTTAAAAGGAAAGAATGGCGGAGAAAGAAGAAAGTTACAAAGAAAGAAAGACGAAGGAAATCACACAGAATGAAGAAAAAATTAAAAACAGGAAAGGAGAAACGAAGAAAAGAAGAAATTAATAACAGGAAAGAAAGTAAAAAGAAAGGAACAAGTGAGGGAAAAAAAGAAGTAAATAAAAAAAATTAGAAGAAAAGTCCGAATGAACGAAAGAAAAAATAAAAGAAAGAAGGAATAGACGAAAGAAAGGGAAACAGAAGCAAGAAATATTTCAATGTGAGGAAAAGGAAAGTAACTGCAAATAGTTTCAGAAAGGACGCTGGGTGATGCCCCTTAAAAGAGACGAGGAGGATGGACTGTCCCTTGAAGATGGGAAATTGAAAAGCGGGACAAGATGCAAAAAGCATTCACATCACTAATTGGTCAATCGGAGTCGTGACATTTGCTGGCCGGTCCACATCAAAGACGACATGATTGACACACGACACATGACCATGTGCAGAGTGTGTTATAACAAAAGAATATAACAAGGAGCAAGACAAAAAGTAAGAAACATAAAGAAAGGGGGAAAGAAAAAGAAAAGAAAAAATTACAGCTGTAGAGAAAAGTGGCATAAAGAAAGGAAAAAAGAATTTGTCCTGAATAGCTCATCTTATAAAGAAAGAATGAAATGAAGAAAGAGAAAGACTATATAAAATGAACAAGGCAAAAATCTAAGGAATAGAAAGAAAGAAAGAAAAAAAGAAAGAAAGAAAAGGAAAAAGAAAGAAAGAAAAAAGAAAGAAAGATAATAGGATAATGATTTGAATGAAAAGATCAGATATGCTAAAAGAAAGAAAGAAACAAAGAATTTGTCCTGAATAGCTCATCTAATAAAGAAAGAAATGAAGAAAGAGAGGAGGAAATATATATATATATATATATTTATATATATATATATATATATATATATATAGAGAGAGAGAGAGAGAGAGAGAGAAGGAGAGAGAGAAAGAGATAGAGAGATATTAGGAAGAAAAGAATGTGAATGAAAAGCTCATCTGTACTAACATAAAGAAAGAAATCTATATAACGTCAAAAAGATACTGGCTTAGAAAGAAAGAAAGAAAGAAAGAAAGAAAGAAAGAAAGAAAGAATGACTATATACAGTGAAAAAGATAAAAATCTAAAGTTTATAAAAAAAAGAAAGAAAGAAAAAAAGAAGGAATGAAAGATAGTAGAACAATGATTTGAAGGAAAAGCTCAAATATGCTGACAATTGTGATGCAGGCCCTGTGAAAAACAAAAAAGAAAGAAAGAAAGAAACAAACAAACAAAGAAGAGTGGAGGAAGAAAATGATCTGAAAATATCATCTTTATTAAAAGAAAGAAAAACACACATAAAAACAACAAATAAACGAAGAATTTGTAGGATATAGATCATCTAATAAAGAAAGAATGAAAAAGAGGAGAAAGGAAAGGATTTAATGAAAATCTCAGCATGACAAAAAGAAAGTGAAGAGGAATTCGAAGGAAAAGATAAAATAAACTAAGAAAGAAAGAAAGAAAGAAAGAAAGAAAGAAAGAAAGAAAGAAAAAAAGGAGGGAAGAAAGGATTTTAAAGAAAATCTCATTTTTACTAAAAGAAAGGAAGAAAGAAAGAAGGAATTGGATTGTATGAAATCTCAACTAAACTAAAAAATAGAAAGAATGAAGAAAGAAAAAAAGAAAGAAAGAAAGAACAGAATAAGCAAAAAGGAAAGGGAAAATAGAGAAAAATCTTATTTTAAAACGAAAATGCCATATATATATATATATATATAGAGAGAGAGAGAGAGAGAGGGAAGGAGAGAGAGGGAGAGAGAGAGAGGAAGGAGAGAGAGAAAGAGATAGAGAGAGATTAGGAAGAAAAGAATGTGAATGAAAAGCTCATCTGTACTAACAGAAAGAAAGAAATCTATATAACGTCAAAAAAACATTGAATACTTAAAGACGATGCTAGTAAATATAATCTTTCTCCAATTATAATTCTAATTTTCGCTATTAGTAGAATATTTCCAAAATGCATTGGAAATAATTAGCTAAATTCTAATAAATGGTAGCATCAATATTCTTGTTGATTTTCACGGATATAAAATTTTCTTCAATTGTGAAAGGAATTTCTGTCAGTGTTCCACGGGTTACTCTAACTCAAAATCTGATTAATTATTGTTTGAACCAATGCGTTCTTCAGACTTCCTCAGTATCATTCAAAGGGTAGATTCTAAACCTGGACCTGAAAGTGTCTGACAACATCAATTTTGAAAAGAAAGAGGTTAGAATTATTTTGCGCCTCCTCTCACGAGTAAAAGCAAATTGTTCTTTATTCTTCTATCTCATGCCAATTTCGGACATTGGCGTTTATAACTCTACGCATTTTCTTTTGTAGCTCTTAGTTATGACAATTGTAATATTAAATATAAGGAAACTTTCAACATTGATTGACCGAGCAGCCAATACTTCCGTCGGTTGAAATTTATAAAATCTTTCTCTTAAATTTTTCAGGAAAATAGGTTTCTCAAGTCCAGTAGATGTTATTGCTCTTTCCGGGATGAATGGGAGTTTCTTTCCTAACTTTTTGTGCTCTTAGGTTGTGTGGAAATTCAACATCTTGATTGTATTATTATAGGTGTTATTCATTTTACTTGTTGTTGTTGGAAAACTTTAAGACTATATTTGAGTAGACGCCCCATATTTTAAACAGTGTTTTAAGTCTACCGGCCTACGCACGCACATCTTATTTATTTGAGTGCATAGACCAGCAGGCTTAATAGGCACACACACACACACACACACACACACACACACACACACACATATATATATATATATATATATATATATATATATATATATATATATATATACCGGGTGTAAAAGCAAAATTGTCCAAATCGGGTGCCAACATAACCGTCCTTCCAACAAAATGTTTAATATCTAAAAAAATCACTAAACTGAGTTACTTTTTTACAGGTTTTCAGAGAAAACGTTTAGCCATCTTGACGCCATCTGTCGTAAGAATCACTGAAAACACTTTCAGTTATTCAGCTAGAAAGAGAACAGGTTAAAATCGTTTTGTATCAGACCCACTGTCTTCCCAAATGAGCAATGGTGAGAGGGAAAAGATCATTTAGGCATTCAGTAATTGTACCAACATTCATAACCTTGGTTTCATCTTCAAAGTCAATTCAAGAACTATCAAGAAATAGTGAATAAGTTTAGAAAAAGAGGGAAGAGTAGAGAGGAATATTGGATCAATGGGTCACAAGAGGAAGAAGGATCATCATTTCAACTTAAAGGTAAAGACATTAATTAGAAAGGACCCAACTCAATCCATAAGACGTTTGACAGGTGAGAGAGAAGTTTCAGCTATGACAGTCCAGTGAAAAATACTTGAAAATTATATCGTAAGTGAAACCTGTGAGGTATTTTGTTACTACAGGACAGAAAGTTAGAAGGTTAGAGAGGGCGAATATCGTGTTGAATAATGTGGAAAATGATCCTGGAATAATATATGTATATTTGAACTTTTTTCAATCCTTCATGAGCTTCCGATCCTTACCTATGATTAATTAATGATGAACATGTCATTTTCATTTATAAACGATTTCATCACGATTCTTCTGTTAAACTAGGAGACTAATTATGCTTAAATTAGAGTCCAATAGTTTTATAAAAAATCTCAGAAAATTCCAGTAAGATATCTTTAATCATTTCTATGATACAACACTTCAAAGCTTAATCTAACAAATGGGCAATTTTGCCTTTACACCATTTGGACAAAATTTTGCTGTTACAACGGCATATATATATATATATATATATATATATATATATATATATATATATATATATATATATATATATCTTGTGTGCACTCTCCCATACATGTGTGTGTTTGTTTGCGTGTCTGTGTGCGTGTGTGTCTGTGTATGTACTAGAACATTTATTTTGGAAAATAATTTGATAAATATATTTTCAGTAGCATAGCAAGGGTTTCCAACGCCGCGGGCAAAAATACATATCGTGCCCCCACTACTGAAATGTTTTGCTTATTTGTTTTCTGACTCATTACGGACTTCCTGAAAATAGCTATAAGAAGTACAAAGCACTCAGAGAGCGTGTGTATCTGCCCGCTTCATTGTCATTTAATTGACTTGCAAGGGGAGGTAACTTTTGTATACACATAGATCAAGCTCTCTACAATTATTTTTTCCATTATTCCATCGCTTATATTGCACACAGTTCTACCAAATTCCATAGAACCTTTTGCGACAATTTATTGCGGACATTGTTCTTCTTCAGTGTGCCGTGACCCTTTCAAGACATTGTCGATCATGACTCTCCGCAATTTCCTGTCTTTTTAACTCTTAATAAATGTTCTTTTTGTTATTTCTCCTAAACTCTGTTCTGCCATCTATTTTTACTCAAGCTCGCTAGATAGGCTATACATTTTCTCCTCTGTCCCTCTTGCCTTAAATCTGTCCTGTGAGTATTAGATTTTCCAAACCTTCTTTTCTCATTATGTGCCCTAGAAATTTCAACTGTCAAGTTTCGTTTTTTTTTTATCCAATTTTCCATATTTTTTTCGTCGTTGCTCACATGTTTCATCGACGATATTCTCAGCATACTCCTGTAGAACCTTATTTCTTTTGCTTCTTTCATCTGTGAGAAGATTGTCTAGCATTCACTGCCATATAGGAGAAGTGATATTACGCAACAGCTCAATAATCTTTGCTTTGTTTGCAACGAAATTTTCCTATTTCTTAATACTCTGCTCAGTTTTTGGGAAGCATCATTAACTCGGACATTAGGGAAAATAATTGCACATGGTTTAGTCCGAATATTTATTAGCTTGTTCAAAGGTCACGTCCAAGTATCCCACCATTTTATTTTTTTTAATTATTTGACAATGCAGTATATTATCTACTTTTGAAATGGATGCTTCATATAGGAATCCAGCCATTTGTTGTGTACATGGAGTATGCTAGTTATCGCTTTCCACTCGCATGGAATTCATAGGACATTATCAATTTTTTTTTTCTGTTACATCAGTTTCATGTTTTTGGTTGTTTTTCTTTTCACCGGAAACCAGTAAAATGTTCCGAAATATAGAAAAAAATAAACAAAAAAAACTAAACAAAAAACACACACATACACACATATATAAGATAGATAGATAGATAGATAGATAGATAGATAGATACGAAAAGACTGAAATAGAAAAGCGATACATATGTAAAGACTGTGATAGATAGATAGATAGATAGATAGATAGATAGATAGATAGATAGATAGTTTTAAGTTATGCTACATTTATGGGTAAAAGTCCTCAATATCATGGATAGAGCGTATGTAACTATAAATGTGGAGAACGAGTAGCGCTAGTTCTCGGAAAGAGAGGTTGTATGCTATTAAATCCTAATAATCGGAATAATCAGTCATTCACCAACACCTGATGAGATGGGATGATACACATCGAAACATGTGTGCATTTATGTAGCGTTATTTCTACATGTTTGGATGTAATATTCTATAATAATTATATATATATATATATATATATATATATATATATATATATATATTTATTTATTTAAAATATGATTCCAATGCTACATAAGAATTCACATGTTTCAAAACAAGAACCGAAAACTTCAATGTAATTATTTCAATTAAATTGAATTAAAAGTACAAGCTCTGTTCTATCTTCAAGCGAAATTTTTTGGGGAATAACTTATTCCTGAAATTTACGCGTTTTATAAGCATATTCATTATTGAAATTAAAATTACTATCGTAACGGCAAGAGCAATTGTTTAAAGAAAAGGGGCGTAAGAGTTAATAACTTGTATCAATATCTCAGTTACATTCGCACAATGTCAAGTCAGGGTAAGGTTGGGGTGTCTAAATTTAAAGCGGAAGATGGACTCTTCCGTCGGCTTCGACGTATGACGATCTAACAGTTTAATTGATTCAGTTATGAAATTTTGTGCGATAATCTTAAGTGGCACTTAAGATCTGCTAGTGATTTACAAAGGAGGCCACATATGGAGCAAGAGTGAGGATAGTGAGATGAAATCACTGTTAGATTGGCTGATCTTTTAGATCTTGCTCTCGGTTCTTGAAAATGATACAGACAAGCAGATTGAAAACTGCTAAGTCCACTAAAACACGTTGATCTCCATTCTACCTGCTCCAAGGTTAAGCGCTCAAGGGTGTTATGTGGTGTATATATATATATATATATATATATATATATATATATATATATATAATAAAAAAAGGCTCAAACACTAATATTCTATGGTCATATATATATTTTAGATATATGATTGCATATGTATGTGTATATTTACCACTAATATTATATATATATATATATGTGTGTGTGTGTGTGTGTGTGTGTGTGTGTGTGTGTGTGTGTGTGTGTGTGTGTGTGTGTGCATGCATGTGTCCTGTCGGAGAGCGCATATTTTTCTTTGATGAGATTTCTCACGAGATAATTATTCAGGTCGGTAGACGAAGATAAATAAATATGCTGTTTAATAAAAAATGGAGCGTCTCCTCAAATATGAGTATCCTCTAAAATAACGTTTAAATTGATAGAAATCTGTAAATAAAGCCCATCACCTTAGAAAATATATGTATATATGTGTATTTAGTTGTCAAATTTTCTTTAAGGCAAATTCTAAAAATAACACAAATAAAACAATAGATATTTTCTTCCGGTTATTATGTATTCTAAACAGAAAAATGCTAGATTGTTCGTATTTTGTTTGACTTCCCTTAACTTCAATAATGGCTTCAATCTGCGGTGGAAGAGATGTATGCAAATACTTTATTAATTTCGTGAGTATACGTTTCCATTCTCTCTGGCTGCGCCCAAATAATTTGACGCATTTTGCAAACAAACAAGAACACGTCACTGCGTTCGCGTCAAAAACGAAAACAGCGTTTATGATGAAGAATATAGTCTGACGTCAATAAGTTACTCTCAGGATCACAATAACATCATTGGAAATAATTAAACTAGCCATAATAACAGCCTACAAGGCTAAAAGACAATGCTTACGGTCATATCACGTTGAAACACCGGTTCCCGTATTATCAACATAATTAAGCAACGTCGAGCCTGATCAGTATCTAGATGGGTGACCTCTTAAGAATACCAGGTGCTGTAATCTTGGACGTGCGGATGTTGTAATGGACAATGACTCAAAATTGTTTAATCAAAAAAGAAAACTTTATTGTGTATTCTAAACACAAAAATGCTAGATAGTATATATTTTGCTAACTTCAATAATGGCATCAATCTGCTTTGGAAGAGATCTATTCAAATTCTTTATTAATTTCCTGGCTATATGTTTCCATTATCTCTGGCTGCGCCCAAATAATTTTTCAATAATGCATGGATTCTTTAGACGAAATCATCATCCCTCTAATTCTTTCCACATTTGCGTGATAATATTTATATCAAGGCTTTGTGCAGGCCAATCATTAAGACGCTACCATTTTAGTCATCCAGACAAGGTTGAGACTGCCATGCTGAAAACTTTTCGCCGCCATTCAAATTAGGAATCAAGTGTTCCGTCAGCAATTCAATGTATTTAATACTATTTATTTTCCCGGTTACATCACGTTGAAACGTGAGTTCTCATATGAACACCGAAGTTAATTAACGTCGAGCCTGGTCAGTACTTAGATGGGTGACCGCTTGTGAATATCAGGTGCCGTAAGCTCGGATGCGCAGTTGGGTGGTGTAATGAATAACTCGGAATTGTTAATCGGAAAACTGAGTTTAAATTCCCATCGGGTTTGTTATATTCACTTACGAGCAAATGCCATTGGGGAAGGTATGACTCCATCCCTTCTCCCCCAGATATGGATTAATTAGTAAAACTTGTATCGCTAAACTATTATTATATCCAAAGAACATCTTACAATCTAAAAATGAATCTAACCATTAATTCACGTCTAAGAGCTCTCACCATCGTTTATATATATATATATATATATATATATATATATATATATGACCAAAACATTATTCTCATGTCTCCAAATTTTAATGTTTATTAATTATTATTTATCATTGACTACTCTAAAATGACTTTTAAATTGTTGGAATTCAACGATGTTTGTTTTAGCAACTATACACCTCGTCAATTCTCTCTCTCAAAGAGTGCATTTTACAGTGTCTATTGGCATTGTTTTTTTTATTGTTTTTTTTTTTAATGTTCTAATCAAATAACGGGCATTACTTATCTGTAGCGTATGAGGACAACCAGATACAACTCCTGTCTCTTGAAACTCCGAAAGTATTTAACAAGCTGCACATCTTCATATTTCATATTTGAAGTTTCGGAGCTATTTTCTCTGGTTCAGTTTCGCGGGCATTTCAACGATTATCCTTCTGATTTCTGATGTTAATCAGGATTTCATTTGATTAACGACGGATGCTTTCCAAAAGCTAAGCAAAGTATTAAAAAACAGAGGAAATTTACATTATTTACATTATTCGGACTATTGTCCTCATCTTTGTCGCCATATTTATTCCATCATTTCGGCCGTTGTACGCTCCGGCCGTCTTCAGGTGGTTGGAATGTCGAACTGAATCCTTTATTTCACTCACTGGGGTAGACTGTTCTAGTTCCACCTGCCATATTTAATGGATGTCAGTTATCAGTTATCTCCTGTTAATTTCCCTCTGAAAGTTCTCCACCGACTTAGCCGGGTATTGAAATCACACTCTTTGGATCCTGTCACTGGATCTACCCAACGCCACATGGCACAGTGGATGAAGGCGTTACATAGATCCAGTGACAGGACCCAAAGAGTTCAATATATATATATATATATAAGTGCTGAAATCTCCATGATGGCTTTCGGCCATATCACGTTCAAACACCGTTTGATGGGTGACCGCTTGGGAATAGCAGGTTCTGTAAGCTTGCATTCGCATGTGGTATAATGGATAACCGCCCGGAATTAGAAATCGGGGAGCAGAGTTCTAATTCCAGTCGGCTTCGTTATATATACTTACGTAAAAATAACCCTTGGAAAGGGCATGGATTGACCTCTTCTCCCCGTCCTTCTATGAATTAAGTAATAGGATTGCATCGGAAAAATAATTACTATCTGCCAAAAATTTTCACAATCTAAAAAAAAAATATTTGCTTGCTTTAAGTAATCCCCAAATGTTTGATAAGCCGTAAAAAAAAAAATTAAAAAAAAAAATTAAAAAAAAAAAATTAAAAAAAAATTCTTGACCTGACATTTTTACCAAATTATAAACATTTTTCTTTTATTCTTCGACTCTTTCTTAGTCGAACTGAGAACTTTTCAGTAACTTCTAATATATATATATATATATATATGTCTGTATGTATGTGTGTGTGTGTGTGTGTGTGTGTGTGTGTGTGTAGTGAATAATAAGCAGCCAGCAGCAGTTGGCGAATCAGATTCTCTTCCATTCAGTCTCATTTCTAAAAGGATATTCTTCCGACTTTGTTGGCTCCACTTAAAGCATTAAATGCCGAATATGCCTTCTTTCTGCTGCTATTTCGTTCCTGAGTGTTCTCGCTTACGTTTAAAAGATTGGCGCGGATGGTAAATTACTTAGCCGGGCAATTTTTGCGCCCCTTGGAAATCATCCTACTGCTGCCTCGACCACATCCAATGCTTTTCTTCCACAATTTCCCTGACTGAACACCCTTTTGCATTTTATTTAGCTGTATCGACGCTCATGGCTCTGTTGGACTTGGAACACCCGTTCATCGCTCCACTTTGCTCAATGCTTTTATTTCTGTCCATACACCTTTTTCTTTTTTTTTTTAGCTTCAATAAATGTATTTACATCTGAAGACATTTAATTTCATTCAATATTTTCTTGCCCTTAATTCAATTCTTTCAGCGAATATTGCATTTATCTATGTATATTTATTGAGAGAAACATTTCACGCGAAAATTAGTCTAAGAAACCGACGCTAACAATTTTATGTTTCAATAACGGAACTTATCATCGTTCTTTTTTTTTTCTTTTATTATCCGAAGATTTGGTGATGTTTTTCTAAGTGTAGCTTAGATGTGGCACAAGGCCGAAAATATGGTGATTGTTTAAACGCAGCTTAGATGTGGCACAAAGCCGAGAGTGAAGATCGAACTGACTAATTGATTTAGCAGGGCAAGGTTGCTAAACATTACACCACATCGAATTGCCCAATGGTGATTTTCTTGGCTTGGACCATGCTTCTTCGAACATCGGGGATTGGCACTACAGAATCATAACGAGAGATTTACCAAATAAGAGAAACCACATAAGTTGAGGACTTACAACAACGGGAAAGACGGAAATGAATAGAAAACAATGACAATCGAAATGTTGACTTTCCACACTACTTCAAAGAAAAGGTTAGGAAAGAATTCCCCATCAATACTAAAAAAAAGTAGTACATTTAGTGGATTGACAAAGAGTATTTTTAGGATTGGTTTGGTTTGGTTTGGTTTGGTTTGTTTTTACATCATATCAATCTTTTTATTGTTGGTAATATTTTTGTTCAAAAATTTATTGCTGGTAATATCCTCAGCACCGTTCTCATTACACCAGCAGTTTCCAGAAATGTCAAGTCTCGTCAGATCTCCAGCATTGTTCTCATTACTCCCGGAGTTTCCAGAAATGACAAATCTCCAGCACTGTTCCCATTACTTCTGCAGTTTTCAGAAATGACAAGTCTCGTCATATCTCCAGCACTGATCTCTTTATTCTCGCTGGATCTAGAAATCACAAATCTCATCAGATCTCCAGCACCGTTCTCATTACTCTGGCAGTTTCCAGAAATGACATGTCTCGAGCAACGTTCTTAATATTCGCACTGGTTTCAGAAATGACAAATCTCGTCAGATCTCCAGCACCGTTCTCATTACTGTCGCAGTTTCCAGAAATGAAAGTCTCATCATATCTCCAGCTCTGATCTCATTATTCTCGCTTGGTTAAAAAATTTCCATGTTCTGGACATTTTTCCATTTCTAATTTATCCTGTCTTGCCTTAATCCCTACTTTATCTGAACCAACTTTATCCGTTTTTTTGTTTGTTTGTTTGTTTTTTGCATTATTCTGTATATTATAGACACAGCAACCACTTCCTGTTTCAAAGGTTTTTTCATTCCCCGATTGAAGTTCTTGTAATTATTGCTGTCTATTCGATTATGCCACCATATTTTTTTTTTTTTTTTTAGTTTCTGGCACAGAGGCATCCAGTTCATGTATTCTTTGTTTACGACTGATTTTCCCTGCTAAAATTATTATTATTATTATTATTATTTTAAGAAAAGTAAATACCTTGTATTTAATGTAATCGATATGTTATTGTTGGCCAAGTGGTTAGTACGTTCGCTTTCTGACCATGAAACCCGGGTTCGAATCTCATCATGGTCGATTTGTCAGGAAGGTGACATCTTGATGTGAGAGACGATCCTGGAGTGTGGCCCCTTTGGAAAATGCCTGAAAAACCATATCACGGGTTGAACCAAGTTTTGTGAGTGAAATTGGGTAATTGAGTGAAATTGAAATCGGAACCCTTGAGGGGGTGCGCGTCGATGGCTCTGCTAGCACGAAGTCACAAGTCATCGTGACCAAGGGTTTTAGCGTGCAGGCCTTGTTCAGTTTGTCGATCACGCTAGATAACACGCTTCCCTCCCGGAAACTGTGACTAAGGTCTGCTCAGCATACATGCAGTACAAACCGCAGGTTGGCTCTGTCGGTGTTGAACAAATACAAAATGCGCCTGAGCAAGGGATTCGCTAGCCACCCTACTAGACGGATATCCTTGAGTGGCCAGACATGTATGTACGTATGCATTGTTGACATTGACGATGATGACAATTTATTTTTATTATTTAAACATCAGCAAGATAGTGAATCTATTGTAATAACAGTAAAGATGTTATTGACGATGATGCATTTATCATTCATGAGCATTATTATTTATATCCTTGTTAGTAGTAGTAGTAGTAGTAGTAGTGGTGGTTGTTGTTAGACATTTTCATGACGGTCGTCCTCGAGTATAAAATCCAGAGGTTGGCAGTGAATATTTCGGAGACAGTAGGAAATCGTAGTGCAGGTTCGCAGTGGATATTAAGTAGCAGAGCGTAGTTTTTCCGTCTGTCATGTTCGCCTGACATGTTGGCTCTGGTCATTCCGGTAGGGTAAACAAAGATGGCCGCTTTTATACACGACGGATACAGTGTTCTGCGGCTTCTGATTGGTTAATCTTCTAGTGGTAGACTATAAAGGGAAATAAGTCATTTTGACTCGCTCACTAGTCATACATATATATATGTTATGTTTAGTTTGTATTTTGTGTATATTTTTCAGTTATTATTGGGGTTCATCTCCTCCCTCTCATTGTATCATTATTAGATTTTTATGTATAGTATTTTCATCATCCAATTTTTATGGTTTGGGGCGCGTTTTGGTAGGTCCCCTTGTGAGAATCTGGTATTATGGTGCATGAAGGATTGAGTGGTGATGGACATGTTCTTGTAATGAATGGGTTAATTGTAACGTATGAATGGGTCGTGAATCAGATTAGCTAGGTATAAGATAGTTAGTGAAGACCAGCCTACACCCCCCCCCATTTCGGCCTTGTGCCATTTGTATATTTTACATAATAAATATCCTAGTCATACATATATATATGTTATGTTTAGTTTGTATTTTGTGTATATTTTTAGTTATTATTGGGGTTCATCTCCTTCCCCTCTCATTGTATCATTATTAGATTTTTATGTATAGAATATTTTTCATCATCCAATTTTTTGGTTTTGGGGCGCGTTTTGGTAGGTCCCCTCGTGAGAATCCGGTATTATGGTGCATGAAGGATTGAGTGGTGATGGACAAGTTCTTGTGGTGGATGAGTAAATTGTAACGTATGAATGGGTCGTGAATCAGATTAGCTAGGTATAA